ACACACACACACACACACACACACACACACACACACACACACACAGACAAACACAGACACACAAACACACACACACAAAAACACACACAGACAAACACAAACACACAAACACACACACACAGATACAGACACTTACACACACAGGCACACACACACAGACACGCAGACCCCTCTCCCCAACCAAAGGCACACACACACAGACACATACACAAGCGCACATACACACACACAGGCAGACACACACAGGCATTTGTAGCCCTATACGAACCTTCCCCTCTCCCCAAAGGCTTTTAGCCCTGTACGAACCTCCCCCTCCCCCCAATGGTGGTATCGTCGACGAGAGGATTTGTGGAAAGCAGGGTGTGGGCCCCAGACCGGGAGAGCGAAGGAAGCACGCTACAATGATGATGGGAAGGGATAGATTCCCCATCACAGACCAAAGGCTTTTAGCCCTACACCAACCTGCTCGTTGCTTGACGAACCTCCCCCTCCCACCAAAAGGCTTATAGCCCTATACCAACCTGCTCGTTGCGTGACTACAGACACACAAACACACAGACACACACACATAGACACACACACACAGACATACACACATACAAACACAGACACAAATACACGCACACACACACACATACACACATACACACACACACACACACAGACAAACACAAACACACGAACACACACACACAGATACACACACAGACAAACACAGACACCGAAACACACACACACAAATACAGACACTTACACACACATGCACACACACACAGACACACAGACCCCTTTCCCCAACCAAAGGCACACACACACAGACACACACACAGRCACACACACACACACACATGCACACACACACGAACCTTATGCTCTCCCCAAAGGCTTTTAACCTTGTACGAACCTCCCCCACCCAACAGACACACACACACAGACACACACACAGACACACACACAGACACACACACAGAGACAAACACACAGAGACACACACACACAGACACACACAGACAGACACACACACACAGACACACACACACAGACACACACACAGACATAGACACAAACAAACACAGACACAAATACACACACACACACACACACACACACACACACACACATACAAACACAAACACACGAACACATACACACATAGATACACACACAGACAAACACAGACACACAAACGCACACACACACGCACACACACAAACACAGATACACGAACACACACACACAGATACACACACAGACAAACACAGACACACAAACACTCACACACACACAGATACAGACACTTACACACAGGCACACATAGACACATACACAGGCAAACACACACACACACACACAGGCACACACACACAAACACACACACACAAACACACACACACAGACACACACAAACACAGGTTTGCACTGTCGTTCGTTGTATTCGTCTTCTAAATTGTTCTCTTTGTCTTTCTGCTCTCGCATAGGTTTGTCCAACATGAAGAACAAAGTGGGACAGTCGAATCCGGGCAGGGCTGTTTCAGCACGGCCAAGCCAATCTCGCGGCAGCGCAGGGGGACCAACAGCGCTTGGGGTCGTGTTCGTCGAGAAACCAGAATTTGAGACGCAGGTCCACGATGAGATGAACGAAGATTATGACAATGAAGATGTGGCAGTTGAGGAAGAGGAGGAAGAGGAGGCAAAAGAGGAGGAAGAGGAGGCAGAGGAGGAGGAAGAGGAGGAAGAGGAGGAAAGAGAAGAGGGAGAAGAGGAAGAAGAGGAGGAAGAGGAGGAAGAGGAGGAACAAGAGAAGGAAGACATGGAGATTGCCTGTGGGAAGGGGAAAGAGAAATGGGTGAGGGATACACTCATAAACACGAAATTGCGAAAAGACCTTCTTTCGTTCCTCTGGGCCGTCTGCCTCACAGCTGTTGGATTAAAGTTGTACGTGCAGTCGGAGAACAAGGCACAGTACAAATGCTACGACGAGATCGTCTACGCGAGTTGGCTTTTTGAGAACAAGCAGTACTTTGCTGAAATTTGGGTCGTTGCTGCCAACAAGCTTGTGAGCTTCATACTTTGAAAGAAGAAATTCGTGCCAAGCAAATTTCCTATAGAGAACAAAAAGTTGGCGGTAGCGAACAAGGACTTCAAGGTCAGATTTCGCGACAAGAACTGTTGGCCCATCCGTCACAGTGACTGCCTTTGTTGGACCTCATCATGGTGCCTGTTTGTGTCTCCATCTGTTTTTGTCGAATGAAGGACCACTGCATTTCGATGCTTGTAGCCACAAGAACTGACTGTCGTTTGTACCACATTGCACTGTGTCAGAGTCCAATAGCATAGTGCACTGTGGTAATCGGCAATACCACAGCGCGTTGTGGTATTGTCCAATATCACAGTGCGCTGTGGTGCTGTCCATTACCACAGTGCGTTGTGGTATTGTCCAAAACCACAGTGCACTATGATGTTGTCCAATACCACAACGCGCTGCAGTGTTGTCCAAAACCACAGCGCACTGTGGTATTGGACAATACCAGAGTGTGCTGTGGTGCTGTCCAAAACCACAGTACACTGTGGTATTGTCCAACACCACAGTGCGCTGTGGTGTTTGACAAAACCACAGTGCATTGTGGTATTGGACATTACCACAGCGCACTGTCGTTTAGTACATTACCACAGCGCATTGTGGTAGTGGACACTACCACAGCGCGTTGTGGTTTTGGACACTACCACAGTGCGTTGTGGTTTTGTCCTTTACCACAGTGCGTTGTGGTATTGTCCAATACTACAATGCGCTGTGGTTTTCTCCAACACCACAGCGCGCTGTGTTATTGTCCAATACCACTGCTGCTGTGGTATTGTCAAATACCACAGCTGCTGCGGTAATGTCCAATACCACAACTGCTGCGGTAATGTCCAATACCATAGCTGCTACGGTATTGTCCAATACCAGTGCTGCTGCGGTATTGTCCAACACCACTGCTACTGCGGTATTGTCCAATACCACTGCTGCTGTGGTATTGTCTTTGCTGTTGTGGTAATGTCCAATACCATTGTTGTTGCGGTATTGTCCAATATCACTGTTGCTGTGGTATTGTCCAATACCACTGCTGTTGCGGTATTGTCCAATACCACTTCTGCTGCGGTATTGTCCAATACCACTGCTGCTGCAGTATTGTCCAATACCACTACTGTTGTGGTATTGTCCGATACCACTGCTGTTGGGGTAATGTCCAATACCACATCGCGTTGCGGTGTTGTCCAATACCACATTGCGCTGCGGTATTGTCCAAAACCACAATACACTGTGGTTTTGTCCAACACCACAGCGCACTCTGGTGTTGGACAATACCACAGTGCACTATGGTTTTGGACAGCACAACAGCGCACTGTGGTATTGGCCACCACCACAGTGCGCTGTGGTATTGTCCAATACCACAGTGCATTGTGGTGTTGGACAAAACCACAACGCATTGTGGTATTGGACAATACCACAGCGCACTGTGGTAATGGACAAAACCACAGCGCACTGTGGTAGTGTCCAATACCACAGCGCACTGTGGTAATGTCTAATACCACAACGCACTGTGGTTTTGTCCAACACCACAGTGCGCTGCGGTATTGTGGTATTTGTCCACGACCACAATGCGCTGTGGTAATATACTAAGCCACAGTGCGCTGCGGTGTTGTCCAATACCATAATGCAATGTGGTTTTGTCCAACACCACAGCGCACTGTGGTGTTGGACAATACCACAGTGCACTGTGGTTTTGGACAACACCACAACGCACTGTGGTATTGTCCAATACCACAGTCCGCTTTGGTTTTGGACAATACCACAGCTACCATAGCGCACTCTAGTATTGGACAATACCACAGTTTCCACAATGCACTATGGTTTTGGACAACACCACAACGCACTGTGATTTTGGACTTTAACAGAATCATGTTTATCGCTTTTTGTAGTTGTTGCTGTGGTAAAGCCCAATACCACAGTGCGCTGCGGTTTTGTCCAATACCACAGTACGCTGTGGTATTGTCCAAATACCACAATGCGTTGTGGTTTCTTCCAACACCATAACGCACTTTGGTATTGGACAATACCACAGCTACCGTAGCGCACTGTGGTATTGGACAATACCACAGCGCACTGTGGTTTTGGACTTTAATAAAATCATGTATGTCGCTTTCTGTCGCTGCTGTTGTCAGTTTGGTGTTGTTTCCATTGCTACTGATTTTCTCTTGTAATTCTGACTGTGTTTTCGTTTCACTCATCTGTTTTTTCATGCATTTGTCTTTGCTTGTGTGTGCAGAGATTCTTCCAAGAACTTGCGCATTACTTAAGTCCCCGTTTGACTCACAATCTTCTTCCATTCAAGTCACAGCCGAAGCCTGCAGGGATGGCAACCCCCGGCCCATCAAGACACAGGAGTTCCAGTGAGAGACCGAGGGTTGCGATTGATGTTGTTTCCCCGCAGACATGTGTGGAGTCATCAGGACCTCTGGAGAGAGGGTCGGGCACGAAAGCGAGGGGTGGAAAAAAGAAGATGTGCGCTACTAAGCCTGCTGCGTCTGACAAAGGGAGAGGGAAAACTACCGCGTCTGAGAAAGGGAAAGGGAAAGGTGCCGCATCTGGGAAAGAGAAAGAGAAAGTTGCACAAGAGGAGCTGCAAGTACCTCGAGGTCGCGTGCCAGACGAACTTACGGACGAGATGGCACGAGCCTGGGACGAACTTCAAAGTCTGCAGCAGAAGAAATCTCCCAAGAGTCATTTTATCTGCCCATGACATGTCTCAAGAGACCACCGGTGGATGAGACCGGAAACAGGCCTTTGGAGGTTCGCGAGCCCGATGAAGATCATGTCTCGACGTTCATGGACTCCATGATCGCTTGCCCGACTGGAGATCATCTTCCCTTCATTGGTGTCATGAATCTAGAGGAGGTGACGAACAAGTCGGAAGTGGATCTCGACCGGTTGAGAAGGGGCGGCTACAACATTTACGTGCTTGGAGGTGGACATTATTGGGAGGCGAGAGAACGACTGCGACAGATCTACCTGGATAAGGACGACTACAACTGGAATGTCGGCTATGTCTATGCAGGCCTGTCCACGGATGAAGCAACTACCACAGAGACATGAACTTCATCGAAAAGATGAAATGTTGGTGCAATGCCTTCGAACGGAAGGGCTCTGTGAAGACTGAGGATATCAAGATAGCCTGCCTGCGCGAATATGGGATACCCGTCAATCCAAAGAAGATGCAGACCAATGACCCACTGTTGCAGATTGCTATGCGCCCGAAAGAGATCTGGAACCTGCAGTTGAAGATGTTTGAGATGTGGAAGAGGGGAGAGGTGAAGGACCAGAAACTGAAGCCTTTGGCAAAGAGCCAGATTCGTACAGAGGTCGCTCTAGAATCCAGCGAATCTGAGGGTGGGAAGCAGACAAGGAAAGGGAAAAGGCTGGACAAGGTGGCAGCAAGGGAACAAGAGATAGCGTTTTTCAATCCACGCTTGAAGTGAAAGGACAACAAAGTCTCGTTGGTGTCATGTGACATGCCCTCACAGCCATGGATTACAATGGGCAACATCCCTCCGAAAGCAATCGTCCCTATTCTGATGGAGGTCATCTCCAAACAGATCTCCCTGGACGAAATGAAGAGGAAGTTCAAAGTCGTCAAGAAGTTTGGCTACGTCGCGAAGACCTTTTGCGATGGTGTGAAGTGCAAGGACTTCAAAACTGCTGAAGAATTGTATCGTTTGCACACCACAAAGGAGGTTCTTGAACCCTTCATCGACAATTTTGACAGGCGCGGGGCTAAGCCAACTGCTTTGTTGGACCACATAGAATGAGCCAAGCAGTGGAGGAAGATGGAGGACAAGAGAATAAAGGAGGCAGAAAGAGCAACTCACGATTTCTTTCGAGCTGCGGCTTTGGACGAGCCTTTCGCAGACTGGACGGAGGTCAAACATGACGGGTGCGCAGGCCTGGTCAAGGTGATTCAGGGTGACATGTTGCATTTGTCACAGCTGCAGAAGGAAAAGCTGCCGATTTTGTCTCGCTATCTTTGACTTTCCTATGGTTTTGCCCACAAAGGTCATGCACGTGACACGGAGTCATTCCCTGAGCATGGCATTGTGGATGTGCTGCAGAATGTCAAGCAGGTTACCAGCGCAGCGCTGTGGACAGTCGCGGGTTTCTGCTCTATGGACATGCTTCCCTCAGTCCGATCTGCGTTTGTGAAAGTCTGCAATGCTGGCCAAGAGCTTCTCACGTGGTGCAAGCCCAACGTGACAAATCCCGGTGGCCCCAGGCTTGTCAGCGTGACGGACTTTTGCATGTTGGGGTACTACAATGTGACGGGGCAGCGTGAGATGGCTCATTATAACTTTTCCCCGACTGATCCCCGCCACAATTTTCAACTTTTTGATACGTTCACGCGCAAGTTTGTGCACCCGAGTGACAACTTGGTGTTGTGTCCGTACCAAAAGCCGTAAGGTTAGTCAGGAAGTTCTCACCTCCCGCCGCTCCCGACGCTACGGTTTTGAAACCTCACCGACATCGAGGATACATTAAGAAGAGAAAAGCCGAGAGAGGGAAAGGGCAAGGGGAAGGAACACCAGCAGGATGCGGACATTGAGGTCTCCGGGGATGACGAACCGATGACACACGAAAAGACCACTGAGACTCATAAGTCGGTTCCTGGTTGTTTAGCAGCGGGTCAGTCTACAGCGAAGGCCAGTGTCAGCAGAGAGGCAGCAACAACTGCCCTACAACAGGTGACGAATGTGGCCGCTGCCGTTCAACATGGAGTGGAGAGGGAGGATCTCGGCGTAGTGCGGAAGAGGTGCAAACTGCCAGTGCTGCAGGGCGAGCGTGAAGAAGGCGAACTCTCTCATCAGCGGGCGGTCACTGTCAAGACTGGTGAAGTCACCAGACTGTCTACGGATCCTGAGAGGGAGGACGTCGCACAGAGCCAGGATTCCAGCAGAGCCACGAACAATACTCGTGGTCGTAAAAAAAAGGTCGGTGGAGAGGAGGTAGTTAGCTCCTAGGGTGGCGTCGTGGTAGGTCTGCGCAGTCACGCACATTGACCTGCCTAGGTACAAGTCTCTGAACTCTTGTAAGGGCGCATATAGTTCTATAACAAGTTTTCTTTATAAGATTATATGTCATCTGCGCTCTTCGAATCATTTTCAGATATGTACCTTAGTAGATGTCCTAGCTTTGTTAATGTGCACATGTCGTTCGGTTGCATTCCGGCAAAAGCCGAGGTAGACCTTGCCCAGTAAGCGGCGATCATGAGCAACCATTCACCCTCAAGAGATTAGATTCTCTTGGAATGACAGGTCGAACACTGTGCACACTTTGTTTCATTTCTCAGGGGGCAGTTAAAAATTTTGGCATTTGCAGATTCCCCTCGTCACTAGTTTGCTAGTTGTCGCTTTTGCCTTGCTTTGAAGGCCACCATCCACTACTCTTGTTGTTTAAGTTTTGTCTTCGTTGCTTGCTTTTCTTAATCGTGTGTCCTCTGTTGGTGTTGTTTTTGTGGTTTCTCCGCTGCTGGTAGTGTTTCCGTGTTGTCTTTGTTGTTGTATTATAGTCCTATATCGTTTTTAGTCAAAAAACATCGTTGGTTGTTAAAGTCCTACAGCGCTGCTGTATAGTTCTATAACTACCGGCGTTGTGATATAGTTTTATAATTACCACCGCTGTTACGCTGCAGTCCGAGATCCATTTTCTTTGCTTTGTTCCCTTGCTTGCACTACTGCTGCTGTAAATTGCTATTTCCACTACTGCTGTTGTTGCTGCTGTTGATGTTGCGTCTAATGTTGCTGCTACTCTCCTTTTCTTGGCTGCTATCAAGTGGGTTTTTATCTACTGCTGACACTGCTGCTGTCGGTAAGCCCATTTCATGTGGTCTTTCGTTTGCTGCTATCGCTAAGCCCTATTCTCGTGGTTTTGCTGCTGCCGCAGCTTGGTTGTTCATGCCGCTGGTTTGTTCCTGCCGCCATTGCTGTTGCTGACGACATAGAAGTAGCGACTGGTTCGTTACTTCCATCAGTTTAGGATAGTTTTTCGGTGAGTTGTTTTGTTCAAGAGTGTTTACTTCACGGTCAACGGTGGTTCATTTTCCTTTTCGTGAACTAATGCTGGGCTTTTTCTTTGATTCCGCTTCGAATTTTAGATATTCGTCTGTTGGTCAAAATAGTTACAAATCCGATTCTTGCCTCTTTCTAGTTTGAGACGCCACTTTTTTGCAGGTAGTGAGATATTTGACAGACGCTTCTCAGTCGCCTCTTTTTGGCAGAACTGTACATTATTTCTGGTGCACATCACACTTTGCAGTACGAGACACTTTTTGTTTTAAGCCATTATTGCGATTT